ACTTTATTTATTCATTTTAATTTGACCAGAGAGGGACAGAGTGAGACAGAGAGAAGGAAAGTGAGAAAGCAAGCCACTAGGCCCAGGACTTGAACCATAGTTGGCCATGTGGGATTCCAGCACCCTTAACCACCATGCCACCTGCTGGCCCCTCAATGCAATTTCTATACAAATTCTAAAAACATTTTTCACAGAAATAGATACTTGTAAAATAGATATTTCCAAAATTTAGATACATTAAAAACCCAAAATAGCTCCCCCTCAACACAGAAGATCTTGAGAGAAAACAAAAAGTTGGAGCCATCATACTCATTGACCTCAAATTACAGTGTGAAGCTATAGTAATAAAAATAGCATGAAACTGGGACCAGCAGTTAGCATAATGGCTATGTCACTGGACTCCCATGTAGTTGACCGCGGTTCGAGTCTTGGACCCGGTGGCTTAAACTCACGCCGGGCGCGTGTGCGTGCGTGCCCAAGATCCCGAGAGGAGAATGGAGGAGAAGGGATTGCAGCATGGCCATCCCCCCTGGGGGGTGATGTCTCGCTTTCTATCTCTCTGTCTCTCTCTGTCTGTCTGGAGAGTGCACGCGCCCTATAGCAAAAACCTCTCCAAAAAAAAAGGGCATGAAACTATCATAATACATAGCCAAATGGAACAGAATAGAGAGCCCAGAAATGAACCCAAATATATACAAAACTTTTCAAAACTGTTAAAATGACAAACTGGGAATAGGATTGTTAGTTAAAAAAAAAAAAAATAGAACTGAGAAAACTGAATATCCACATGCAAAAGAATGAAACTGAACCCTTAGCTTGCAGAAACATTTATGGAAAAAACCCAATATGGATTAAAGAGTATTTAAAATTAAGGCCTAAAAAGTAAACTCCTAGGGGAAGAAGGGTAGCACAGAGAAAAAATATTTTAATTTTGATTATGGCAATGACTGTTTGTATATAACACCAAAAGCTCAGAAACTCTAGTTTGATGTATGCCCACTTCTTAATTTTAGGGTTTTTTTTGGGTTTGGTTTTTGTTTTTTTAATATTTTATCGCAGAAAACTTCAAGCATGTAGAGAGAATAGTAAAACAAATCCTGGTGTATCACCATCCAGCGTTAGCAATGTTCAGTCTATCACTGGCCCTGTTTAACCTGTACTCTACCTACTCTTCTTTTTGAAGCTAATCCTAGATTTCGTCTGTACATATTTTAGCATATATTTTTTCTTTTCTTTTTTTTTTTTTTTTTAAGAAGTTTTTGCCTTAGAGCATGTGCGCTCACTGTGGGGGAGGTTTAATTATTATTATTATTTTTTAATTTTTAAAACTTATAGTAAAATACGCATAACATTTACCATATTTTTAAAAAGAATTATTTGTTTAATTTTATTTACCATTATTATTATTATCTTTTTTTTTAATTTATCTGGTTGTGGGGAGTGAGAAAGTAAGCTACCAGGTCTGGGACTCAAACCACGGTTAGCCACATGGGATTCCAACACCTTAACCATCATGCCACCTGCCAGCCCCCAAATTTACCATCTTAAAAATTTTAACTACATAGTGATGTATGCTAAGTACTTCTTATTGTTTTACAAAGTGAATCTCCAGTGCTTTTTCATCTTGCAAAACCAGTAGGAGCTGTTATAGCCCAGTGGTTAAGGGAAGCTAGATCCCACGTTGCCAACCGTGGTTCAAGTCCTGGCCCTGTGGCTTGAGAAACACCAGGGCACACGTGCATGCGTGCCCCGAATCCTGACAGGTGGACAAATGGAGGGTGCAGTCTGACCACACCCCACCTGGCAGTGCTTTTTCCTCTGCCCCTCAGCCTTTCTGACTCTGGCAAGCACATGTGCCCTCCCGCAATTTGAAACAGAAGGAAACAGAAACTTTATATTCATTAAACATCAGAATTTATTTTTAAGAATGAGAATTATTTTAATATTTTATATGTGTAGGGGTAAGAACCAGTATGTGAGGAAGGATGAAGAGGTAGGCAAAGTGAAACTTAGATCTTCCTAAAAACTTAAGACATTTCATCATTTAAAGAAAGGGGAGTATGCTTACTCTTTCCTCACAACCTCCTCCATTTCTCTGAGTGCAGTTTTTATTTTCTACTTTCTATTACAAAAAAGCAACAAAATTGACAATAATGATAATATTTTGTTCAGAAACAAGATTTTTTTTCAAGATAAATTTTAAGGCCTTTAAGACAGAAAACACAAACTTCTATCTCTTTTATCATTCTGGTAGGAATGGGAGATAATATTTATTTAACTACAGTGTTTTCACGATGCTGAGGAGGGTGCAAACCCTGGACAATACGATTAAATTATAGCACAGAGCATGTTACCAGGAAAAGCATGAGGTGTTGTCCAAAGGCTCATCTAATGTGAATTGGAGGCTAAAGGCAAGGCAGATGAGCTTCGAATCTTTATGAAATGCTAGTTATTAAAATGAGGTTTTACCTCTCCTGATTGAACCAGAATGGAGTACTAGAATACTGTGCTCCTGATGTTCCCCCTCTGATGCAGCAGAATGAGGATGAAAGAGAATGAGTCAATTGTTGAAATAACCTTTAGTCAACTTTGTCCAAGTGGGACACAATAGGAGTTGCCTTGAATTTTAATTTTGTCTGAAATAGAGAGCTGTTGCCACAGTGCCCAAAGTGGGGTGCTCACCGACATGTCAGGTACTTGTCTGTTTCTCCTGCGTACCCCGTATTGATTCTGGATCTTCCCTTTCATCATTCTGTTCTTTCTCTAGCTTTGATGGTCTCGTTTCCATTCTGTAGTTCATAGGATATTTTGTGGCATGCTTTTTTTCAAATTTCCCTCTAAGACAATAGTGCAAAACCTATCCTAAACTGATGATAATGATTGATGATTTGGGGGCCAGCAGGTGGCTGGACTCCCAATGGCTGATCGTGGTTTGAGTTCCAGACCTGGAACTTTGAAAATCATGCTGGGTGCATGTGCACACTTGCCCAAAATCCCAAGGTGGTGGTGGGGGGATTTCTTACTTTCCCTTTCTCTGTCTGGTGAACGCATATGCCCTATGACAAAAATGAACAAACAAAAAAGATTGATGATTTTTACAAATATCCCATCATTGTGTGGTGGTTAATGGCGCTGGACTCCCACGTGACTGCTGTTCAAGTCCTGGACCGGGCGGCCTGGTTTCTCACTTTGTCTCTCTCTCTTTCTCACTCTGTCACTCTCTGGTCAAATTAAAATAAATAAGTAAGTAAATAAGTAAACTTCAATAAAATAATTATCTTAAAAAATCCCATCATATTACTTAAAAACACTTTTCCCAAATATCAAACCAATATTCATTACTAGAGATGCAGTCTAAATTGTCCCTGGTGAAAACATCCATTAGATTTTTCAGTAGTATAAGCAGTTGTTATTGTAAATGCAAAACCTTGTAACTGTGAGCCATTTGATAAGATAAATTCTTGTTACACAGCCCCAGATTTATTAAAGCATCAGAAAATTTTTTTTTTTGAGAGTTTTTTTTGTGTGTGTGTGTGTGCTATAGGGCACGTGCGCTCGCCAGCCAGACAGAGGCAGACAGAGAGAGAGACAGAAAGCGAGAAATCACCCCCCAGGGGGGATGGCCACGTCGCAATCCCTTCTCCTCCATTCTCCTCTTGGGATCTTGGGCACGCACACACACGCGCCCGGTGTGAGTTTAAGCCACTGGGTCCAGGACTCGAACCGCAGTCAACTACATGGGAGTCCAGCGACATAGCCATTACGTCAACTGCTGGTCCCCAGAAATTTATTGAGCACATACTATGTGCCAGGCACTGTGCAAGGTGACAGAGGCCTAAACTAAAAACCCAGCCTCTGCCCTTATTAAAGCATGACTGAGAGTAAAATGGAGGATATAGTTTTTATGCAGAGTCAAAACCCACCCTTCCTGGTTATGATGTTTACATGTAGAACAGTGTCTTATGGTATCATTGATTCTAGACATAAATTCTCGTGCTGGAAAGGCAATGGAGAGAAGCCATGAGCTGAGAAGAAACCGTGTCTAAGCTCTTGCTTTGCTGCTGTGTATGAATCAGTCCCACCCCTCATCGGTATTACTGAGCACTTAGAAACTGCTGTGGGCATGGGGAGCATGGTCCCAGATGAGTCAGCAGTTCTCTGTTCTCTGTGTGAACTGAGCAGGTGGGTTTCACTTCTCTACATCTTGAGATCTCTCATACCTGGAATACTAAGGTCTGTGACAGCCTCTTAGAGGGAGAAGCTTACCAAGTGGCCTTGGGACTCCTTTCAGAGGGTTGGTTAGCCCTTAGCCTGATTTCACAATAACTTCACATAAGCAGTTGAAAAATAATTTGGCTAGCCTCTCATTTGCGATTGGGTCATCTTGGCAAAGTGTGGGCGTGGCAGTTCACGCTCAGAGGATTTCGGAGGTAAGAAGTACAAGCCGGGAGAAGGTAGACGCCTTTCCTCACCACAGCTAGACAGCTGGGAGCAGCTTCCTCACCTTTCCCTCCCCACTGTCCCAGGCACAGGTCTCCTGCAGCACCATGGCTCAGGCGACCCCCTGCCCTTCTGCTTTAATGAGTCTGGAAACAGGATTGCCCATCATGGACCCAGAAGTGATTGGCTTTATGAGACAGGAAGCACTGTTGTTGCCTCTCACAGCTTTTCCGGTGGGTGACACGGCGACAAGTTTCTTGTTATCTGGCTTCATAACTGCAACAAGTACTTCGCTTTTTTGCCTGCATCCAGGGTGATCATTCGGAGGGAAAGTGGATTTCTGTAACAGAGAGAGAGAGAGATGAAAAGGGAGGGAGGGACAGAAAGAGGGAGAGAGAGATTTGAACATACATCGCTTCAAGAATCCAGAAGGTTACCACCCAGAGAAGCCTTCAAGTAGCTTTAAGAACTGAGCTGCTGGACTCCTCGGCCAATCTGTCCACTCTAGTCAGTAGAAGGAGCGCAGGGGTTCAAGTTCCCTCGGAAGCGGGCGGCTCAGTTAGCCCCTCCCATGAGCCCCAGGGTCTGTTATATCTCTGTTCCTTGAGTACCTCTCACTGAGACGGACCACAGCAAGCAGAGGCTGAAAAAACAAGGAAAGAGGAAGAAAACAAAAGCTGCCACTTATGGAAGATAGAAAGGGTAAGACCCAAACTGATTTGATCTGAATCCTTGAGAGAAAAAAAATAAAAGAGGAAAAAAAAAAAAAGCCCAGACCACAAGTAAATACTTGAAAGAACAGGACGCAGAAAGCCCTGAATGAACTTTCCCACCCTCTTCCCTCCAAGGAGAGGCGAAAGAACTTTGGGAAACTTTTTAGGAAGCAGAGCCTCCAGGGTGGTAGCAAGTGTGGCTCTAGAGCAAGCTGGCCGGGCTCATGAATATTCATAGTTAATTTGTATTCAGCTCTCGTTTTTCCTAGGGGCAAATGACTTTTTCAGTCCCCTTGCAGTTGAAGAGGCACTGCCTCATCTGCAGCCCTGAGTCCTCCAGCCTGGGTGCGACCCCAGCCTGTTAGCGTGAAGATGCTGGGCTCAGTGTAGATTTGTTTTGCTCTGAATCTCCTGCGAGCTTTCCTGTTGTGAAATTAGCAAAGGCTTCTCTGCTGGGAGTTAGAAAAGTTCATGTGGTAAGAGGCTGTCACAAGAGGATCCCCGTGTATGTCTTGCAAAAGACTGAAAGTCTCTTGAGATGTGTGGGGGACTGTGTGTGGAGGGGCAGGGGACGGGAAGCGGGGTGGAGGGGGGAAAAAGAATCGTGCCATCTTAAAAGAGCAGGTCCTATCTGACTGATTGCATTTAGATTTTGTCTAGAAAAACCAGAGCAGCCTCGTTTGCACAGATGGTGTGCCGTCTCTGCCTTTTACCTCTTTTGGGCATTTTCTGCCAGGACAGAGAGCCAGCTGCTTGCCGGCTTGCAGGAGCCAAGAAGAATCTCTGCAGCAGTGAGGGTGGGGAGCGTCACAACCCTTTATCCTGTCTAACTTCCAGTATCTTCACATGTGTTTATCACACACGGAGGCGGAGGAATAGGATGAGTACCCAGCGGATTCCTTAATAGTTATAAAAGTGATAGCTGTGCAGCTTTACTAGGCTGGCAGCCGTTCTAACCAGGGTGAGTGTGCTACTTATTCCCACATCGACTGCCACGGCCGTCCCCATTTCCCAGACGATGCCGTTGAGGTGGTGAGACCGCAGCTTGCCCAGGGATCACAGAGCTCTTCGGAGCCAGTGTGCGTGCAGGCAGCAGTCGAGAGCGCTTGGCTCGCCATCCCCACGCAGTCGCTCTGCTCAGGGGCTCTCTGGTGCCCTGACACTGCGGATTCTGAGGCTCGCAGATCTTTGAAGCTGCTGGGGAAACAGTACTCATGAAATCCAAAGCCCGTGAAGAAATGTGTACTTTGCAATCAAGTTCACATAAGTTTTTCTTTTCTTTCTTTGGAGAGGTTTTTCGCTATAGGGCGTGTACGCTCGCCAGACAGACAGAGAGACAGAAAGGGAGAAATCACCCCCCAGAGGGAATGGTCACGCCACAATCCCTTCTCCTCCATTCTCCTCTTGGGATCTTGGGCACGCACGCACACGCGCCCGGCGTGAGTTTTAAGCCACCGGGTCCGGGACGTGAACCGCAGTCGACTACGTGGGAGTCCAGCGACATAGCCATTACGCCAACTGCTGGTTCCCAAGTTCACATACGTTTTTTTCTCATGGCTCATAGCCATTCTCTGTGATAGAGAAGCAGATGTTATGATTTTGGCCTTTTATAAAGTGGAGAAACTGAGGCCAGAAGGGACCACGCGATTAGTTGCCCAGAGTCTGAACCGACCGGAAGTCCCCTTTCTGCTTGCTCTTTTAGCCTGCAGAGCAGGCCCAGTCATCTCCAAACTTCTCTTCTGTCCCACGCTGGACCTCACTGGCGGCTTTCGGTTCCACAAGAGAACTGCTCCTTTCCTCCCTCTGAGATGGTTGAAAGGTGCTTTCCTCTGCGTGGAAAGGCCTATCTGGCCCTCCCCTTCCTCTTTAGTCTGGAACCAGCCTGTCCGAGTTTGAATCCCAGCTCTACCATTTACTGTGCGTGCCTCAGTTTCCTCATCCATAAAACGAAGAAAATGACGTCTCCCTTGCAGAACTGTTGTAAGGACTGAACGAGAGGTCCATGCACAGTTCTTAGGACAGGGTCCGATGTGTAGTATGTGCTCAACGGCTGTTAGCTGTTACTGTCACTCGTTCAAGCCTCATCTTGGGTGTTACTACTCCCTTTAAGCTCCTAACACTTCAGACCTAGCTGAGGCCCCTCTCTGGGACGTTGTTTCTGTGGCACCACTGACACTTGGGGTACTCATCGCACTCATTCCTGTCCTCTACATCACCTGCCTCCCTAATTTCTTTTTTTTTTTTTTTGGAGAGGTTTTTGCTATAGGACGTGTGCACTCGCCAGAGAGACAGAGACAGAAAGCGAGAAATCACCCCAGGGGGGATGGTCACGCCGCAATCCCTTCTCCTCCATCCTCCTCTCGGGATCTTGGGCACGCACGCACACACACCCGGCGTGAGTTTAAGTCACTGGGTCCAAGACTCGAACTGCGATCGACTACATGGGAGTCCAGCAACATAGCCATTATGCCAACTGCTGGTCCCTCCCTAATTTCCTTATTGACCATTGGATCTGTCATGTCTAGTGCAGTGTGTTTTAGTCTTCAGATTTATGAGAACTTTACTGTCAGTGTGGGCAGGATGGTGGAGGCACAGGAGGCAGCCATGGAGGGTGCTCATGTAGTCGCTGCAGAGGGCCTGGCGCCAGAAGCCATTCAGGGGATGGAAGATGCTGGATAGCGACACAGGAAGAGGTGCTCATGATTCGGTGGTCAGAGAAGCAGGGTGCCACTGACACGCCTCTGATGTCCTTATCACGGGTCACCTCGGTGGCCACATTTACCGCCCTCGGGGAGGTAAATGTGGAGGGAAGGTTCTTGAAGTCGATGTGTACCGCAGAGAAGATGCAGATCTTGTCCCAGTGGGTGGTGCACAGCGGACGCTTGTACAAGGCCAGAAGGTCCTTGTCAGCCACAAGCCCTTTGACCTTCTTAATGGACATTCACTAAGTATTTACTAAACTAAGCATTTTGTTTTAGCTGACTTTTGTTCCAAAATCAGGAGGCTGGTTTAAAAGGGAACTTTGAGTTTGCAGTAGAAAACCTCATGGATGCATGCAGTTTTAATATGCAACCTGCAAAGACATCCGTCTAAATGGATATGCTGGAAAACAAAATGCATCCCTTCTGGGTGGATGGTCCTAAGAGCTAACATGACCTCACGCCAAGGTACTCATTTTGGCCAGTGTAGCTCTGGCTGGACTTCAGCCCCCACATGCCCTTCAGCCAGTAGCCAAAATGGAGTTTTCAGAAGCCTCATAGCACAACTTTGTTATCTCTGAGTAGAACATCTGGTTCCATAAATACTGTATCCCCAGACCTACTTTATAGCAACTGCACTGTCTGAGACAATGTTCTCTGGATATAAAAGAAAGCCAAACACTAAGGAGGCTGGCCCTGGGTAAAATCATAGAGTACATTAAGTTCGTTTCCAGCACCCTCCCTTTCTTCTTCCTGGCATACCTTCAAACCGACTTGACAAATATTTTTGTGTGTCTACCATTTGTAAGTCCCTGTGCCAGATGCTTGGAATATAAACAGTTTGCTCATGGTCTAGTGGGGAAGACAGGCATAGACGCAACCACTGTAATCCAAGCCAGACTCTGTGAAGTGCTAATAATAATAGCTAACATCGATTATTTATCCTGTGCCAGACGCTGTCATCTTTTATATACGTTGCCTCATGTAACTTTCACAACCACTCGCTTTGGTTTCAGAACTCCATATTGGCATCTTACAGCCCTGGAAGGAGGTGACTTGGTCAAGGTGACACAGGCAGTTAATAGGCAGAAGGGGAATTTTGACCCATGTGGTTAGACTCAAAGTCCTGGGCTCCAAAAGGTTAAGTTCTGCCTCCCTAAGAGCTGTAGCAGAGGTCTACAGAAAGTGCCCTGAGGAACAGAGCAGGAAGTGATTACTTCTGGGAAAATATTTCAAAGAATGGGACACTTCAGTTGGACCTAGAAAGGTTGCAGGATGGCTTCTGTGATGAGATCCAGGTTCTTGGTGTTTCAGACACAAAGAATTGAACGAAACACGCCAACAGTGAAAGGAAAAGGTAGTGTATTAAGTGAAAGTGCAAGTGCAGTCCGGAGAGGTAGGAGGGGCCTGAGCGGACAGAGAAAGAGTGGCGCAAAGGCCCTGGCAGTTGCGTTCTGTGAGATTTCTAATTTTTAAATCTAGATCATGTCAGCTAGGCCCGCAGATTATTCTCATCTCGTTGGCTCTATCAAATGTAGCCGGGCCCACTGGTTTCTCATTGGCTATGTTAACTGTGGCTGGGCCCACTGATTTATCTCATTGGCTAGATCAAATGTGGCTTAATCTGCTAGACACCCTCCATTGACCTCCTGCGTGCATTACCTTGGGCAGGAAATTTTCTGCCTTGATTGGTTTTTCTTTCTAGCCACATGGGCAGATGCTCCAGCCCCCTTATCTGTTTCCATTTGCCAGCTTTCTCCTCCCTCACAAGCCCTCTCCCTCCCAGCAGTGCTCTAAGATCTTTTCTCTCTCTTTCACCAAAACCATTTCGATTTAGGAGCAAAACATTCCTTCTTTTCCACCTGTGGGCAGGTGGCCTGTTTACATGTCCATCCCAAAGATTGAAGGCAGACGTCCGGAGTTTAACCTTGACTATGAGTTTGGGATTACTAGTCATGTAATCAAATAAACATTTACAGAGTAATTGGCTGTACATTAAATGAGTTCTTTAATCATGAATGCCCTGCATGGTAATTATCATGGCTTATCTGGTGAACTGCTTTTGCAAATGATCGTGATTAGTGTTGTTTTTACTTGGCCAAACCACATTTTAAGAGTCTTTCTCCTGCGTTGTCTGTCTTTTTGGTTACTTCTCCACTCCCTGTAACTAGTGATTGTGCCCAAGGACATAGTGTTTATTCCCGCCTGTTACTGTCCAGAAGCGCTGGGCTCAGCCTGTGCAAGGTGAAGGCGATGGCTGGGATACATCATATAAAGTCTGTTCTTCGAA